CTCATGACTGTAAATCCCAGCACTTTGCAGGGCTGAGGTAGGTGGATAGCTTGAGCCCGGGAGTTCAAGGTCAGCCTGGGAAACATAGCCAGAGTCTGTCTCTGCAAATGATAAAAACTTAGCCAGGCATAGTGGCACACCTGTGGTCCCAGATACTCAGGAGGCTGAGATGGGAGGATCCCTTGAGCACAGGAGGTCGAGGCTACAGTGAGTCGTGATCGGTCCAGTGCATTTCAGCCTGGGAAACAGAGGGAAACTCTGTCTCAAAAAAAACCAAAACCAAAAACAAACAAACAAACAAACAGCCCTAATAAGACTGTACAAAATGTCCTTGCTCATTTGTGTGGGTGTTTTGGAAGGTCGACGGCTGAAGCGAGTGTCCCTTATGTCTGCATGTCCTATGTCCTTGTGTCCCCATGCCCCCAAGTCCCCACCACAAGTCCAAGGCTCACGTCCCCACGTCCCCTGTACCCCATGTCCTCATTTCTCTATGTCCATGTGGCTCCACATTCCTCATGTCTGCATTTTCTCATTCCTCATGTCCCCATAACCTCCACATCTCGATATTCTTCATGTCCCCATGTCCCTCACATCCCCGAATCCCTGTGTTCCCGTGTCTCCATATTCCCAAGTCTCCATGTCCTCTTGCCCCATATCTCCATATTCTTTGTGTCTCCATGTCCCATATCCCCATTTTCCCATGTCATGTCCCCGTGTCCTCATGTCCTCATGTCCCTATGTCTTCAAGTTCCCATGTCCACTTGTCCTCACGTCCCCATGTCTCCATGACCTCCACTCCCCATGCTCTCATGTCCCTAGATGCCCATATCCTCATGTCCTCTATGTCCTGTCGTCATGTCGCCATGTCTGCACGTCTCCATATCCCTCGTGTCCCCAAGTCCCCCATCCCCACATCCTCATTCCCCCATGAGGACTCCTCCTATACCCACATCCTCATGTCTCCCATAAACCAGCCCAGAGCAGGGTTTGCCTTCTGCTGTGTGCTTGGTAAATATGAGCTGCCTTCCTCCTTAAACCTTCCACTTAAAGGCCGCAGAATCACCATGTGTAAGATGGCTTCCCTGAAAAAATGCATCCCAAGTGTCACTATTAGACGTCAGGTGGACACTTTCCCCCACAGCGAATAAACTGGTAGCAACCCTGGGAAGGAATGGGGTGTAACGGTCAAGGCCAGCTGGCTGCTGTAGCAGTCCCAGGCTTAGTCATAGTCCAGTGCTGGCAATGGGAGAGTTGTGGGGGCTCTGTTCCATGCAGTCAGATGGGGAGCACTCACCCACCAGGAGAGAGGCCCAGGGAGAGCACTCACCCACCAGGGGAGAGCCCCTAGGCCAGCTGAGAGAAATTAGGCCAGGGGATGCTAAACAGGGTAGAGCCCCTGGGCCTCCCTCCTGGTGAGTGGGTGTTCCCCTTTGGCCTCTCTCCTAGTGGGTTATCCCCCCAGGTCTCTCTCCTGGTGGGTGGACCCTCTCCCCAGATCTCTCTGCTGGTGGGTGGACCCTCCACCCAGGCCTCTTTCCTGGTTAGTAGATGCTCCCCCTGGGCCTCCCTCCTGGTGAATGAGTGCTCCCCCTGGGGCTCCCTCCTGGTGAGTGAGTGCTCCTCCAGGACTCTCTCCTAGTGGGTGCTCCCCCTGGGCCTCCTTCCTGGTGAGTGGGTGCTCCTCCAGGCCTCCCTCCTGGTGAGTGGGTGCTCCCCCTGGACCTCCCTCCTGGTGAGTGGGTGCTCCTCCAGGCCTCTCTCCCAGTGGGTGTTCCCCGTGGGACTCTCTTCTGGTGGGCGGGCACTCCCCCTGGTTGAGAGTTCTCTGCCCGTAGGCTCTCTCCATCCTGGCCTCTGTGGTCACACACAGGTCCCTCTGGGTCCTGGACTTCACAGCTCCTCTACCTGGCCATTGCCAGCTTTCCTGGAAGACAGGGCTGGGGGTCCCTGGGAGAAAGCAAGAGTCCTGGGGAAACCCCCTTTCTTATCAGAGGCACCCACCCCTCATGAAGTGAGCCGCCTGGGGGAGGATGAGCAGTACCTCTGAGGGACAGGCTGAGGGACACTGGAGGCACAGGGCCTTCTCTGCAGAGCCTCTGACTCCATAAAGTTATTCAGGGGCTTTGAGATTGAATGGCACCCATGGATTATCACTGTGGCCCCCAGGAGCCCTCCATGGGTTGAGTAGTGTGGCCAGGAAAGCCTCTTCAAGGAGAGGGCAGAGAGCTGAGGGGCCTGAGTGACCCAGGGGACAGTGGTCCAGGCTGAGGGAGTAGCAAATAGAAAGGCCCTGAGGCAGGTGCCTGCAGGAGCTCTCCAGGGTAGGAGACTCATTTGAGCCATTGGAACATGAGTGAAATAATTGGTTAAAGAAATTGGAATATGTGTTACTACTTCCTGGTGGCCACTTCTCCCCACCAGGCTGATCCCACCATCCCCCAACTTCAGGTCACCCGTTGCCCTTTTTCCTGATGAAAATACTACATCACTGTAAAGCAACAGTAAACACTTAACTCTAGTTTTGATGGGTCAGGAATTGAGGTGTGGCTTGGCTGTGGCTTGGGGATCTCTCATGAAGCTGCAGATGGTGGCTGGGGCTGCAGTGTCATCTGAAGGCCTGACTGAAACTGAGGATCATCTCCAAGGTGACTTATTCACTCACTGCAAGTTGTTGCTGGCTGCTGACTGGGGGCCTCAGGTCCTCTCCACATGGGCCTCTCTGCAGGGCTGCTTGAGCATCCTCACAATATGGCAGCCGGCTCCCCCAGAGTGGGTAATTCAGGAAGGAAAGGGAAAAGCTGCAGTGTTATGTATGGCCTGGCCTTGGAAGTCACCTTCATCATTTCTGTAATGTTCTATTGTACAGTAGTATCCACAGGTTAGCTCTATTCACAGTGGGAGAGGCAGATGACCAGCAGTTGATGATGACTGGGCCATCGTGGGGCTGGCTGCCACAAACATGTTTCTTTTTGAATGATGTCACTCCCAGGTGGAGGCACCTCTTCCTCCCACTCACCCCCACCAGGGATGACAGGACACTTGGCCTCAGTTCTACTTTCAAGCCACAAACCCCTCCCCATCCTCTTTTTGTCCTTCACCTACCACAACCCCTCACCTTTCAGGTCATCACAGCCAGCCTGCCGCTGTGTTGCCAGAATTTATCTTGACCTTCTTAGGACGACAGTTGTGTATTCCTGGTGGACGTGGGTTTGTGTCCCTGGTACTAATGGGACCCCACTGCTGGCCTTCTGGTACAGGGGACGTCTGTAAAGGAGAAGGCTGAACCAGGTGGTGGTGGCAGGCACTGCTGTCCTTCCTGGCCTGGGCTGGCAGCATCTGGATGGTCCAGGGCTGTCTCCTCAAGGGGCAGGAGCCAAGACTCCAGGGCCCAGGCATTGACGGCACAGCAACGGTGATTCAGATGTTGGTGGCTGGGATCCCTTGAGTACCTACCGTGGGCAAAGCCCTCATTTCTTACAAAAACTCCACCATGTGCATCCCACATTTTCTCCATTTCGTGGAGGAAGAATGGAGGCTTCAAGAAGTTCATCAATGCCTGGGCGTGGTGGTTCATGCCTGTAATCCCAGCACTTTAGGAGGCCGAGGCAGACAGATCACCTGAGGTCAGAAATTGAGACCAGCCTGGCTAACAGTCTCTACTAAAAATACAAAAAATTAGTTGGGCATTGTGGTGGGTGCCTATAATCCCAGCTACTCGGAAGGATGAGGCAGAAGAATCTTTGAAACCGGAAGGTGGAGGTTGAAGTGAGCTGAGATTGTGCCACTGCACTCCAACAGAGTGAGGCTCCGTCTCAAAAAAATAAAATAAAATAAAACATAAAAAAGAAGAAGTTCAGCTATGTGGCTAAGGCCACAGCACCCATGCATCTGAGCTCAGGTGACACTGTCCACCCCATCCTTGTCACAGCTGGGTGTAGCTCTGCATCCTTACGCAGACAGGGAACTAGGGGACAAACTCCACATCACCTTGGCCTTTAGCTTTTGGGAGGGGGGGCACACTACTGTGTCCCGAGCCTCAGTTTCCCTGTTAGATGGGGATAACTATACAGCCCCTCACAGGGGCATGAAGGGGCCTGATAAGCAACCACCCACAGGGCACCTGCGGCAGTGCCTGGCACAGGGAAACTGAGGCCTAGAGAAATTGCTTTTATTTATTTATTTATTTATTTATTTTTATTTTTATTTTTTATTTTTTGAGACGGAGTCTCACTCTGTCGCCCAGGCTGGAGTGCAGTGACCGGATCTCAGCTCACTGCAAGCTCCGCCTCCCGGGTTTACACCATTCTCCTGCCTCAGCCTCCCGAGTAGCTGGGACTACAGTCGCCCGCCACCTCGCCCGGCTAGTTTTTTTGTATTTTTTAGTAGAGACAGGGTTTCACCCTGTTCGCCAGGATGGTCTCGATCTCCTGACCTCGTGATCCGCCCATCTCGGCCTCCCAAAGTGCTGGGATTACAGGCTTGAGCCACCGCACCCGGCTGCTTTTATTTATTTATTTATTATTTTATTTTTATTTTTATTGAGATGGAGTCTCTTTCTGTCCCCCAGGCTGTAGTGCAGTGGCACAATCTCAGTTCACTGCAACCTCCACCTCTGGGGTTCGAGCGGTCCTCCTGCCTCAGCCTCCCTAGTAGCTGGGATTACAAGCATGCGCCACAACGCCCAGCTGATTTTTGTATTTTTAGTAGAGATGGGGTTTCACCAAGTTGGCCAGACTGGTCTCAAACCCCTGACCTCAAGTGATCCTCCCTCCTCGGCCTCCCGAAGTGCTGGGATTTCAGGCATGAGCCACCATGCCCAGTTGAGAAATTGCTTTAAAAAAAAAAAGAATTTAAGGCTGGATTAACAAGCTTTATTAAAATGGAGTCAGACTTTGCACTCTAAGTCCTTCAGGACCTGGTGTTATTATTTATTGATTCTCTCCCTAAAACAATGAGGGTGTCCTCCTGGTGGGGCTGCTTAGCAGGGCAGGTGCTGGGCCTGTTGGAGCAGCACTCACGGGTCAGGTCTCCCAGGAAACATCTTGAAATATCTATTTGCTGGAGGTCTCTTCACTTTCTAACTTGTGACCATTTCATTGTTCCCAACCAAGAGGGTCTGAGGAAGCCTCTGATGGTGTTTCTGGTCTCACTCTGGGCTTGTCTGGTCTAGGGCCGGCCCCCTCACTCTCTGCTGGGCCCCTCCTCCCTGAAGATCTACACGGCAGATCTACTCACAATAGTCCACCCAGCAGAAGCAGGAGGGTGGTGGTTGTGGGTCCTCTGTGCGCAGCCCTGTTAACCTTTAAACCAGCACGGCTTCCGCGGCTGTGAGCCGAGCGCCTGGTCAGTGGAGAGCTGTGGATTGCATGCTTGTTTGCTGTTGCCCCCGCCACCCTGCAAGTTGCACCTTCTAGAATCAGCAAGCCAAGCTCCTCTCACCCCAGCAGAATGATGCGGAAATGCAAATACACCATCATGTTGTGACCCATATTGCGAAAATTAGAAAGAAGGAAGTTGTGTTTCGCTATTGCACGAAGTTCAGCCCGGAGGAGAAACTCGCTCGCCTTCGGAAGACAGGTGAGTGGGGCCGGCCCTGAGGTCTTGGCGGAGCCCCGAGATCTGACTGGTTTTGTGGAACTTTGGGGTGGTGGGAGCATTCAGGGCAGGAGCCATTTGAGGGATGTTTTCAAGGCAGGAAGTGGCTGTGGTGGCACGGAATGGTGTCTTGTTTTTGTTCTGTCGTCTTTCTCTGGGTTCCTGGAGCGTGATGTGTAAAAATTCAGAGTTATTATGGGCCTCAAATGGCAAGCGTGAAAAGCCTTTGTCAACTGCCTGGGACAGTGCTGGGACAGTGTTGCCTATCATCTGGGGGTGGCTCAGGCTCTCACAAGATGAACGGTGCCTGCCTGTGTCCCCATCAAAGTCTGGCAGGGGCCCAAGTCCAAGGCTGACCAGATACAGGGAGCCTTTTTCCATCGGCTGGCAGTGCACCAGCCAGGGCATCGAGACCACGGCCAGACCCTCTCATGTCACCCAGGCCTCGGGGGCTGGGGGCAGTGTGAGCCTTCCTCTGCCTGAGCAGAGGTGGGTGGTCCCAGACGTGTCCTGGGGCTAGGCTTTCCCACACAGTGTGGCTCCAGAAGCTTCCTCTGCACTCTGCAGTTTAGATATTAGCAGATGTGGGCCTGTGTAGCATGGGGCTATGAGGAAGGAGTGCCGCGCCCACTGAAGCCTTCTCACACCCCGTGCAGTGCCTGGCAGTGTGGGACAGTGGCGGGGCCACCTCAAGAGGTGCGTGGACTGCTGGCAGGGTCCCAGCGACACTGGCGGCACAACCCGACGCCACCGTGATTGTGCCCACTGTGCAGAGGGGGCCCGAGGGGCAGGGTCATGTTCGGGTCGCACAGCATGGCCACACTCATCTGTAAAGTGGGGACTGAGTCGTGCCAGGCTCACTGTAGTTCGGGACTGGACGTGCTCAGCAGGTGCCGCTGCCATTCAGATCAGTGCTTGCCAATGCCCAGGGCAGATGCTGGTCAGCCATTCTTGCAGGGAGAAAACTGAGGCATGGAGCTGACTTACCCTGGGCCCCCCAGCCTGCAAAGTGTCTGATGAGCCCCAGTACAAATCTTCACCACTTGCTCCGCGGCCCCAGAGCTGGGTGGGGCTAGCCAGCTGCGTGTGAAACGGAGGAAGTGGTTTGTCCCCAGCTGGGCTGTTACAGGAGGCCGGAGGAGGCCCCGGCTCCACTCCTCAGGGGGCTGAGGTCCGCGTCTACACAGAAACCAGCACTCCGCCATGTGCAAGACCCCTCGGAGCTACAGCAGGCTGAGTGCCCTGCACACAGAGGCCTGCAGCTGTGTTGTGCAGAGGTGAGAGCTGAAATGACCTTTTCCTGAGAAGCCGCACTGCTGTACAAGGACGGGCCTGACCTTCCTGGCCTGCACAGGTCTGCGCCCCTTGAGGATTCCCAGGTTAGTCCTTGGACTGAAAGAGTGACCCGAGAGTCACTGGTGCATGTGCTGGGAGCTCCCAATGCATCCTCCCCACCTGCCCCGATGGGTCTATCAGGAGCCCTGTTTACAGATAAGGAAACTGAGGCCCCTCAGTAAGGGCAGTGCTGGGCAGGTGTGAAACCTAGACAAGGATGAGACTGGGCTTGTGGAACAAGGAGTCGGCGGCAAGCATGTGCTGAAAACAATGAACAAGGACAAGAGGAAGAGCAGCCGGGCACTGTGGTGCCTGCCTGGCCCTGGGCGGGACAACCATCAGCTGTGGGGACTGAGCCAGTCAGGAAGGAAGCAGGACATGAGGACCTTCATTCATCCCTTACATTTCTCCCCGTGTGCTGCCTTCTCTTTTCTGCAGATATTGTGGGTCCTGGTAGGTGACAAGGGGCCCATTGTCTGAGGAGGGAGACAGGGACATGAGACTGCCACGGTTGGATCTGGCTGGCTGCAAGGACAGTGCAGGGCAGGCCCTGTGTGAAATGGGGGCTGCCACGTCTGGGCCTGGGGACAAGCTGCCTGATGCCTGGTGACACGAACTTGCACCCGTGGTGCCTCTGTCCCCACATGTAAGACGAACATGTGAGCTTCCCTACTCCCTCCTTCTGAGCTTGCCGCCTGCCGGTGAGCGTCCCTGGTCTCAGGAAAGTAGCCCACAGGCAAATGGTTGCTGCATTTTCCCGAAAGCAAGTATTGAACTCCTAACAATAATCCCCGCCCTCCAGGATGGGGCGCCCCACTCTGTGTCACAAGGTGTGCTGTCCCCCAGCCCCACCCCCCAGGTGGGGGCACCGCAGACTCAGGCCTAGAGGCTGCACCCGTGGGTCCTGCCCGGGGCCCACCCCACCTGGGGGTCTGTGTGAGGCCTCTGCCCAGGGTGCCAGTCTTCTGAGGAGCAGCGGTGGCTGTGCATGTGGACCAAGGAAGGAAGGCAAGAGTGCGTGAACAGGGGCTGAGCTCCATAGCCTCAGAAAGGGACACTAACGATCCCACCTCCCCCTGGATGCCCCCAGCTGGGCAGGGAGGTTGAAAAGGAGGCTGGCCTGGTGCAGGGCCTTGCCCTTCACACCTTGTCATTTCGGTATGAATGCAAAAAGCTTCTCATGCAAATCTTCTGAAATCCATACCTTTAAAAAAAGTTTTCTTTTTTAAAATGGCAGTAAAATACACATAACCTAAAGCATAGCACTTTCATCTTCTTTTTTTTTTTTTGAGATGGAATCTCACTCTGTCTCCCAGGCTGGAGTGCAGTGGCGCGATCTCGGCTTGGTGCAGCCTCCACCTCCCGGGTTCAAGTGATTCTTCTGCCTCAGCTTCCCAAGTAGCTGAAATTACAGGTGCCTGCCACCAAGCTGATTTTTTTGTGTTTTTAGTAGAGACGGGGGTTTTACCATGTTGATCAGGCTGGTCTCGAACTCCTGACCTCAGGTGATCCACCAGCCTCGGCCTCTCAAAGTTTTGGGATTACAGGCGTCAGCCACCGCGCCTGGCCTCCTTCATTGTTTTTAGGTGATCAGTACAGTGCCCTCAGCACATTCACGTTGCTGTGCAACCATCACTGCCGTCCATCTCCAGAGTGTCTTCACCTTCCCAATCTGAAACTCTGTCCCTGTTAAACCCTCTCCATTCCCTCCCCTGGCCCTGGCAGCCGCCAATCTGGTTTCTGTTTCTGAATTTGACTCCTCAAGGACCTCACGTAGGTGGAATCACACAGGATTTGTCCCTTTGCAACTGGCTTATTTCACTTAGCATAATGTCCTCAGGGTTCACCCCTGTTGTGGCATGGGTCAGAATTTCCTTCTGGTTTATTAATTTATTTATGAGTCGGAGTCTCTGTTGCCAGGCTGGAGTGCAGTGGCGTGATCTCGGCTCACTGCTACCTCTGCCTCCCAGGTTCAAGCTATTCTCCTGCCTCAGCCTCCTGATTAGCTGGGACTACAGGCGCCCGCCACCATGCCCGGCTAATTTTTGTATTTTTAGTAGAGACGGGGTTTCACCATGTTGACTAGGCTGGTCTCGATCTCTTGACCTTGTGATCTGCCTGCCTTGGCCTCCCAAGGTGCAGGGATTACAGGCGGGAGCCACTGCGCTCGGCCTCCTTCTGTTTAAGGCCGAACATGATTCTGTTCTGTGGAGAGGCCACCTTTTCTTTATCCAGGTATCTGTGAATGGACACTTGAGCGGCTTTCACCCTTTGTCTATTGTAGGGAATGCTGCTGTGTATGTGGGTGTACAAGTACCTGTTTGGGACCCTGCTTTCAAACCTTTTGGGAGAAACATTCTTGACTCGATGGACTCACATGTTGGAGTAAATGTGGCTGCTCTAAGAAAAGCTGCCACACCCTTGGGAGAGGTAGACGCCCCCCGCCCACCAGCCCCCAATCCCAGGCTGTCCAGCCTGTCCTCCCACTCCACAGTCACAGCGTTGTGCCAGGGCTATGGGTCATGAAGAGTCACACAGTCTTAAACAGTAGAGGTAACTTGTAAAGGTGGTGGTGTGAGCTGTATTTGTGAGTGTCTGCTCATGGCATGCCTGCAAACGGGCAGGTGCTTCGTTGATCTGCCTCCTCTTCTCCCTGCTCAGCTTGCCCTCGCCTCCCGCCCTCTCCGAGGTCCCTCTGACCCCCACCCCAATTCAGGAGCATGTGGCACCTCACTGAGTTCTCAGCAGAGATAATGGAGACCCCCCCTCTATCCACGCCCACAGCAGACAGGGCATTTCCCAGGCTGAGACCCCAAGGTAATTACTCTGTGCTTCCAGGCACCTCTGGGTCACAAGGTGGCTTTATTTATTTGTTTATTTATTTTGACATGGAATCTTGCTCTGTGGCCCAGGCTGGAGTGCAGTGGTGCGATCTCCTCACTGCAACCTCCGCCTCGTGGGTACAAGCAATTCTCCTGTCTCAGCCTCCAGAGTAGCTGGGACTACAGGTGCAAGCCATCATGCCCAGCTAATTTTTGTATTTTTAGTAGAGATGGAGTTTCACCATATTGGTCAGTCTGGTCTCGAACTCCTGACCGCAGGTGAAGGTCTCCCAAAGTGCCTCGGCCTCCCAAAGTGCTGGGATTGCGGGTATGAGCCACTGCACTTAGCCTGGTGGCTTTAGTTGATTGCCATCAGCCATTACACCTGGGCATGGCCAGGGTGCCCTGGGCCTTGCTCACTGTGGGTGGCCTCAGTGGGTTTGGGACCTCAAGGCACCGAAGTTAAGCCAGGGAGAAGCCATATGGGGACCAGCAGACATGGGCAGTACACATGGTTTATTGTATCACCTGGAGGCACTTACAGTATTGCCTGGATTCTCTATTGCAGGGTAACGCACAAGGGAGATCTTGTCATCATCCCTCATGATTCTCGGCCACCTGGGTGCAGCAGGCAGCTCTTGCCCACAGGGCTGGGACCCATTGCAAAGGCTTCCCCCAAAGGCTTCAGGCCTGGCTGCCGCTTGCTGTTAGCAGGGATGCCTCCGCCTGCCTCTCTGCGTGGCCAGGGCTCCCTCACAGCGAGGCGCTGGCTTCCAAGGGCAAGAGCCTGGAGCTGTCTTCCCTCCTGACTTGGCCTCCCGTATGCTGCCCTCTCTAGTTACAGCGAGTCTCTTAGGGGCTCTGTATTTAGGGGAGGGATGTCAGAGTCCGCTTTTATATTGAAGGGGCGTCAAAGAATATATGGCAGTTTAAAAACCACCACTAACGCGTTTGTTGCTCCCCCCACATAACATGCTGCTGTTATGGAGCCTTCTGTGTGCCGGGGGCCACTGGGCCACTCCAGCAACAGGACAGGGGAAGTCCCTGCCTGCTAGGTGCCAGACGGCCCAGTGGACAGGTGCCGTGGTGGGTTTCTTTCAGAGGGGAGGGGACTCCCTCACGGCCCCCAGGAAGGGATGTCTGGTGGCAGGTAGAGCTGGGTGGTAGGCAGACTGGTGGCCCATCTGTGGGACCAGCCCTGCCCATCTTGGGGGGCCGATGCACTGTGGAGGGACAAGGGGCAGGGCCAGAGCACTTCACCCCCCTGCTCACTGGCTGCTGTGATGGAGACACATGAACAGTTCTAGGATGCCCTGGATTCTGGGCATTCTTAATTTCTTCAGGTTTGTGGATTTCCTCGTGCTAGGTGGTGGCAGCCCCGAGTGTCTGGGACCTGTTTCCTGGCTGAGTCCACAGTGGGCACGGCTCATCTGGGTCAGCAGCTCCAGCCTTGCTCACCTCAGGCGGCTCAGGGCTTCCTAAAAGGAGAGCTGAGGTGGTGGGGTACAGAGAACTGACCTCGGCTCCCTCAATGCCCCTGTGGAAACGTAGGCATAGCCCTGGGTGGATCAGAGTGACCCAAATGCAGGGGCTTCCAGCACCTGTGTGCCAGGGCCAGCCTGCCTGAGCCTCGGCTTCCTCATATGAAGGACAGAAATGTCCCCTGCAAATGTGAGAAAGGGCTCAGCAATGACCCTGTGCATGGGTGTGCATGGGTGTACTTGTATTATATGTGTGTATGCGTTGTCAACCTAAAATCAAGAGAATCACAATATAGTCTAAAGAGAGTTTATTCAAGCACAAGGTTGAGGACTGCAGCCAGGGAGACACTTCCAAGTTGCCTCAGGGAATGTCTGGAGAACAAGAGACGCTCAAGTGTTTAAAGAAAGGATGAATCAGGAGAGGGGGTGGTGACCGTTGTTCATCAGGAACTCTCATTGGTTCACAGAAATAACACTGGTTAGTGATTGGCCAGTCACTGTTGAACTACAGGGAATGTGGCATTTTAGGGTTACTTGGCATCTGTTAGTCTAGAGCCTGCATAGCAAGTGGTTTCAGGAGGGACCCATTTTGCTCGATGGGGAGTGACACGTGACTGTGTTGCATTCCAGTGCTTCTCGACGCCTGATTATATAAAGGGGCTGGCATTCCTCAGATAAAGGTCTTTTTATTTTTCAGCATACATGTGCACACATGTGTATGTATGTGCACATGTGCGCTTGTATATACATGTGTGCACTTGTGCCTTGAAGGCCAGGCAGTGGCCACAGCAGCCCAGGAGGGTTGCTGCTGGTAAAGCCTTTGGTCGCAGAGGGGCTCTGCCCAGCTACACTTCCCAAAGTGGCTCCTCCCTCTCCTGCCCCTCTATCCAGCTTTGTTTGTCTGTTCTCATTACCTTTTATTTTAAAACAACACATACTCTGTAAAAAGTCCCTGCAACTGGGCCGGGTACAGTGGTTCACGCCTGTAATCCCAGCACTTTGGGAGGCCGAGACGGGTGGATCACGAGGTCAGGAGATCGAGACTATCCTGGCTAACACAGTGAAACCCCGTCTCTACTAAAAATACAAAAAAAAAAAAAAAATTAGCCAGGCATGGTGGCAGGCGTCTGTAGTCCCAGCTACTCGGGAGGTTGAGGCAGGAGAATGGCATGAACCCGGGAGGCGGAGCTTGCAGTGAGCCGAGATCGCGCCACTGCACTCCAGCCTGGGCGACAGAACAAGACTCTGTCTCAAAAAAAAAAAAAAAAAAAAAAAAAAGTCCCTGCAACAGAATAGAAGGAAGTGAAGTGATAATTAGGGGCTCCTCAACCCAGGTTGCCCCCACCAAGGGCACCCTAAAAGCCTCACTTTTAATTTGATTACCTTTGTAAAGACCCTGTCTCCAAACTTTTCTTCATTTTGAGGTACTGGGGGCTAGGACTTCAGTGTGTGAATTGCGGGGTACGACAGGATCCATAACACAGGTGTTGGCAATGCAGAGTTGCAAACGCAAAGCTGGAGGTGAGTGTCCTTCATTTGTTTTGGTTCATCTGCTCTTGGACAAAAGCCCTTCCAAGACGGGAGTGATTTAAGGGCCTCCGATAAGCACAGTGCACCTCTCTCCTCTGGACAGGATGTCCGGGGGCCGGGCTGCTTGAGCCTCCCAGGCTGCAACCACACACCTCCTCACCTCTCCTCATGATCCATCCTCCCTTCTGTGGTAAGGAAAATGATGCTCAGGAGTGTCTGAAATTCACCAAGTTTGTACAGTTCAAAGGCGATAAGGGTGGGATTTTTCTTTTCTTTCTTTTTTCTTATTTTTGAGACAGAGTCTGGCTCTGTCCCCCAGGCTGGAGTGCAGTGGCGAGATGTCTGTTCATTGCAACCTCCACCTCCCAGATTCAAGCGATTCTCCTGCCTCAGCCTTTTCGAGTAGCTGGGATTACAGGAGCCCCCGACCATACCTGGCTAGGGTCACATTTTCTTGATCAGCCCTGTGAGGTATACTTGGCATACCATTGATGCATATGTTTAAAGTGTACAGTTGGATAAACTTTGACGTGGGGTATGCTTGTGAAATTATCACCACAATCAAGGTAATGAGTATGTGTGCAACATCCCTCAAAGCTCTTGTGCTCCTTTGTAAGCACCCTCCACCCCACCAGCCCCCTCACACCCCCAGCCACCTCCACCCCCTTCCTCACTCACCCCCCTCCCCCACGCCAATCCCATAGCCCCTCCCCTTCCTTTCAGGCACCCAATGACCTGCTTCTTAGCACCATAGGCTACTTTGCACTTCCTAGAATTCCGTAGTAATGAGAAAACACCGTAGGTCTTCTTTGGCTCCTTTTGTTCAGCATAATTATTTCTAGATTCATCTGCATTCTACTCCCTTTTTAAAACTGGTCTGAAAGATCTGGCTGGATGTGGTGGCTCATGCCTGTAATCCCAGCACTTTGGGAGGCTGAGGTGGGAGGATCACTAGAGGTCAGGAGTTCGACACCAGCCTGGCCAACATGGTGAAAACCCATCTCTACTAAAAAAAAATACAAAAATTAACCAAGCGTGGTGGTGGGTGCCTGTAATCCCAGCTACTCAGGAGGCTGAGGTGGGAGAATCACTTGAACCCAGCCCAGGAGGCAGAGGTTGCAGTGAACATAGATTGTGCCACTGAATTCTAGCCTGGGCGACAGAGTAAGACTCCATCTCAAAAAAAAAAAAAAAAAATGGTCTGAAAGATCATTAGATGTAGGTTTAGAATTAGCATCATTATTTTCCTGAAATGTTTGTAGAATTCACCAGTGAAGATCTCTGCGCCTGAAGTTCTCTATGTGGGAAAAGTTTTAACTACAAGGATTTTTTGTGCTTACTTTATACTGAGCTTCTTAGATGTGTAGATTTATAGCTTCCATCAAATCTAGAAAACTTGTCATTATTTCCTCAAATATTTTTTCTGTCCACCCCTTTTTGAGACTCCAATTACACATGTATTACACTACTTGAAGTTTTCCCACATTTCGCTGTTGCTCAGTTTTCTCTGTGTGTGTGTGTTTCATTTTGGGTAGTTTCTGTTCTTGTCAAATTCACTAATGTTTCTTCTACAATGTTGAATTGGTTGTTAATTCCTTCCAGTGTGTTTTTGGTCTCACGCTTTGTAGTTTTCATCTCTGGAAGTTTAATGTGGGCCTTCTTACATCCTCCATGTCTCTACTGGATTTTAGAACATAGTAGGACACAGACATGATAGCAGTTTTGAATGTCCCTTTTTGCTGATTCTAACATCTGTGTTAGTTATGTGTTTATATTGAATTTTTTCTCTTCATTTTGTATAGTCCCTTTTATGCCTGGTATTTTTTTTTTTTTTTTTTTTTTTTTGAGACAGAGTCTTGCTCTGTCGCCCAGGCTGGAGTGCAGTTGCACAATCTCAGCTCACCGCAATATCCGCCTCCTGGGTTCAAGCAATTCTCCTACCTCAGCCTCCTGAGCAGCTGGGATTATAGGCACGCACTACCATGCCTGGCTGATTTTTGTATTTTTAGTAGAGATGGAGTTTCTCCATGTTGGCCAGGCTGGTCTCGAACTCCCGACCTCAAGTGATCCATCTGCCTTGGCCTCCCAAAGTTCTGGGATTACAGGTGTGAGTCATTGCGCCCGGTCTATGCCTGGTGATTTTTGATTAGATGCCAGACTATGGGAATTTTACCTTGCTGTGCACTGCATATTTTTGTAGTTCTATATTTTTTAGCTTTGTTCAGGGATGCAGTTGTGTAAACATGTGGACTTCCTGTTAAGGTTTGTTAATATTTGCTAGGTGGGACCAGAGCAGTGATCACTGCAGGGCTAATTATCCATCATTCCTGAAGCAAGACCCTCTGAGTATTCAATGCAATGCCCCGTGAACTGTGGGGTTTTTCGGGTTGGCTGGTGGGCACAGGCATGTTCCTGCCCTGTGAAAGCTCCTGTGGTCCTTGCAGGCGGTTCTTTCTCTGGCCTCACGTGCTCTCCCCACTGCACACATGCCAAATGGTCCTCGAGGGGTCCCTCTGAGATCTCCGGGTTCTCTCTCTGTGTGCAGTTCTCTCCTCTTCAGGGCTCCATGCTGTGGACTCTGGCCACCTTAGTCTTCTGGGCCTCCCAGTTTTGTCTTTTCAACTCAGAGGGTCCACTGGGCCCCATAGGCCTCCCCTTCCCTGATCCATGGTCCAGAAATGGTCTCTGGGCAGTGAGCTGGGACAATAGGAGGGCTCACCTCATTCATTCCCATCTCTCAGGGACCACGGTGTTTTACTGCTTTGTGTAGAGCCTTGCAAACCTCTTTCGTAGGTTTTGTCCATGTTTGTTGTTGTTGTTCCAGGTGAGAGTAAATCTGGTTTCTATTACTCCATCCTGACCAGAACCCTAATTCCCCTGAGATGGGGTTGAACGAGGCTCTGTCTTGCCAGACAGCTACCTTTGAACACACTGAGGCTGAGCGCAGCTCACATTCCATCTGGTGTATTTTTATTGCTGTGCCACGTTTGACCTCTGGAAACCTGAGTTTATCTCTTGTGCTATGAGAAGAATGCGGCAAAACATGTATTTTCTGTTTAGAAATCTTAATATTGCCCCCCATTGAATTCGTTAGGAATGTGGCAGTAGCCAATCATAAATGCCCACCTGAGTGATTCTGGAGTCATTTAAAGAAACTTCCACTCAAAAGTGGTTTTGCCCCAAGAGAGCGAGCACTCAGGAGCCTGTGCGGGGTGGGGGTGCTCCACCGTGGAGCTGGTTGGCATCCACAGCCACTGGGACGCTGCCAGAGCCCAGGCCTGCATCACGCCCTGCCCAGAGGCACACCTGCCTGCTCAAGGCAGCCAGGGCTGGCTCACGGTGTGCCACTGTGTCACTGTGTGAAGCCTGTTTCTTCACTGCCTCTTCTTTATTCTGCTTTGCAAGTGAGGCAGGAACACGTAAAGCTGCTGGCAGAGGAATATCTAAGTGTGAGTGTGAGTGTGCGTGTGTGTGTGAACCAGCTCATCGGTGTGTTTGAGGGAGCCTCTCTGTGTGTGCCTGGGGGAGGGTGTGAGGTGTGGGCTGGGGAGGGGCCTGGCGATGCCCACCGGCTCACCTCACACTGGACAGTGCCTGCACCTTCAAGGTGACCCTTCCCCTGGGCCACAGGATGCTGCATGGCCAGGGACAAGCTCAGCCCTGACCCCAGAGTTTCCAGCCGAGCAAGACACTGCCCACCCCACACTGAATGGCTGCTGGTGCAGGCGCCACCCTTTTGGAGGCGTTGTGTGCCAGCCTGGGGGCTGAGGATATGGCTGTGCAGACTGCCATGCCCCAATCCTGGATCCACTATGCTGGGCAGTGGCATAGAGCTTCCCTCCTCCACACCCCCCCTAGAGCCGGGGCCTCTGGCTGCTCCAAATGCCAGTTGGAGAAGGTGGTTTTCTTTCTTTTCTAATGTCTTTTCAGTACCTCCTAAATGGCTCTACTTTGAACCTGCTGGGCAAGGAAAAGATTTTCAAGGAAACCATCTACTGTGCGCGAGCCCCTGCCGGCCAATCCCAGACCCCAGCGCGGAGCCAGGCGCCTGTGCCTGCCAACCCTCAGCACCCTCCTCGGAGAGGCTGGTGGCATCAGGTATGGGAATAAGTGACCGCCACTTGCAGCCCCTAGGCTCCTCGGCAGCTGCGTCTTGGGTTCAAGAGGATGATTTTGAGGGATGACAGTTTCCCTCTAGGCCCATCTCACCTTTGCTTCTCCTCAGAGGCGCCCAGTGAATTCTCTGTGCACTTAGAATTGACACTTGAATGTGGTCCATGAGAGGTGTGGTGGGCCAGTGGGAGGTGGCTCCAGTGCACAGGAGGCAGGAGGAGTTTTGGGGCAAAGACCTGGGTCCACATCCTCTGGTGAGACCCACCTCCTGCCCCAGCCCTCCCCTGAGGGATACAGTAGAGACAGCTGGGACCTTGGACCCCTGGGGGCTGTTTTCTGACCTGTCCAGCAGGCAGTGGTGGGGAGAAGGAGGAGGAGGACACTGGCCTCACATCCTGGGAGTATCAGAGGATTGAAAAGCACCACGGATGTGCTATAAACTGAAGCCACTGTGTTCCTGTTGGTTATGGTCACTACCTTGAGCATCTATTTGAATTTATTGAACAGCAGATAGCTTCACACCACAGGGTAACTTTTTTTTTTTTTTATGCAGAAGAAACTTAATTTTAAAAGAAAACATTTTCCACTTTCTGTTCTCTAAAAGCCTGTCTGTACAAGACCCAACTGAAGCTGACCAGGGTATTCACACTTCACACACAGCCCCCAGCCCACCTGCTCGAGGCTTTGGGTAGGGGGTAGAGGGTACTGCCTGGGGGCTGCATTTGGGGTTTGCACCTGAGGGGGCTGGTCCATGCCTGGCTAGTACTGACTCTGTCTTGTTTCTCCCCTACAGGAAGCCCCTGGCCAGCCTCCACCTGAGCCCAGTGACCTCAGCTTTAAGGATGGAGTCAGGCAGGGGGTCCTCAACCCTTCCAGGATCCATTGCTGCCCTAGAGGTGCCAGATACTGGACCTGGTAGTTCCTCTCTGGGGAAGCTCCAAGCACTCCCTGTCGGGCCCAGGGCCCACTGTGGGGATCCTGGCAGCCCAGCTGCAGCAGGGAACGGCTCTCTAGACACGGGCCCCGCGGGAGAGCAGAGTGGTAGCTTAAAGATCCCCAACCGGGACAGCGGGATCGACAGTCCATCCTCCAGTGTGGCTGGAGAGAACTTCCCCTGCGAGGAGGGCTTGGAGGCTGGCCCAAGCCCCACTGTGCTGGGGGCACACCCAGAGATGACCCTGGACAGCCAGGTCCCGAAGGTCACCCCCCAGGAGGAGGCCGACAGCGACGTGGGTGAGGAACCTGACCCTGAGAACACCCCCCAGAAGGCTGACGAGGACGCCGGCCTGGCCCAGGTAGGCTTCCCCTTCTCTGTCCCCGCTGCAGGCCGCAGGCCTTTCCTCGGGAGGGTTTTGAGATTTTTAGTGGGCGTCACCCCACACCTTGTTTCCAGGAATGTGGCACACAGGCTCGTGCCGTGTGCAAGGGGAGGTCCTGGGATGCAGTGTGCCCGAGAAAATCCTGTGGGAAGAATCCGTGCAGGTCAGGCCAGGCCTACCTGACACCTTGAGCAGTGACCTCAGTCCTGAGCCTCGGTTTCCACAACTGCGCAGTGGGCACCTCCCGACCCTGGGAAGGTATGATGGTCAGTCCTACCGGTGGTGCTGCCAAAGCTGCCCTTTGCGCAGTGCTCACTGCCGACTTTATAAAACTCCTGGGAGGAGACAGTGTGAGTGGGGAAACTTTTCCTCAATGGGAAACTGAGGCACAGAGAGCATGGTACCTGGCCAGGGTCATCCATGGGGTGTGGCACAGGCTGGGTGCTCTGTGCTCTTCAGGACACAGTGGGGCAGGACCTGTGAGGCCCGCAGTGCAGTGTGGAGACCAGAGCAGACAGTTCCCACAACACGATGGGGCTGCATTGAGGGAGTTTGTTTGCGTTCTCATTAGCATGTATGGGGCTCTTGGCTCGGTGCTGGGGTCTTGGGGAGATGGAGAAGCAGCGGATGGCCTCAGGCTAAGAGAAACTGTGGGTATGGGCACAGCATGGGTAAGCTGCCAAGTGACCAGGTCATGGGAGCGTTTTGCGGGTCAGGCTTGCTGGCGCCTGCATGGGGACGTTGCTGGCTGACACGGGTACCATCAGGAGACAGGCTGGGCAGGTGAAGGGAAGCCCGCTGCCTGGACCACTGGAAGCCGGCTTCACGGAGACGAGGCCAGGGCTGTGTTCAACGGAGGCTTTATTATCACTCAGGTGTAGGAAGGATCAGGAGACCACTGCCATTGACAAGATGGTTTGTCATCCTCAGTTTCCAAGAGAAAGGGGCACATCACACCACACCGTGGGGCCACAGGGAAGCCCAGGGTCCGTCAGGAGGCAGAGGGTTCAAGGGGAAACTGTGGGCCTGAGACGGTAATATGGTTTCCGCAGGAAGGAACGGGCAAGGCAGGGTGAGTGGGCTGAGGATTGGTTGGTGTGAATGATTTCATTGGGTTCTGGGGCACAGGGGCTGTCCCTGGCTGTCTGGTACCCGCCCTGGGGTGAGGAGGGCAGGGGCACATGGCCTGGAGTGTGAGGGCCCCATAGAAGGGGGGTGGGGGTGGGCTCTGTGGGGGTTGGTGGGCATTGGAAAGGCGAGTTTGCAGGGCAAGCCTGGGCCTTTACTCTCTCTAGAATTGGCTACCCTGGGAGGGGCAGTCCCTCCAGGGTCAGAAAGGTCCAGATGTCAGCACATCAGAACACAGACAACAGAAGGCCTGGTGAGTCCTGGCCACACCACCCACAGCTCCAGGGGTGTCCTGAGCGGGCTGTCCAGTCTCCTGAGTGCCGGGGACAGTGCAGACCCCAGGCCCAGCCCCTCAGGTTCTGGGGTGTGCACAGGGCCAGGCTTGTGCGGGGAAGGCCCAGGTCCTGGTGTCTGCAATAGGAAGTTTCCAGCGCTTGCTCTGGTGCTTCTGTCACTGATGGGAACGAGTTTGTCTTCTCCCTTGTGGGATGCCTTAACAGAGTGCAGTCTGTCACACACCGGCCGGTCCTCAGGGTGAGGCATCACACAGGATCTTTGGGACCCGGAGTCTCCTCTAGCCCACCCTGAGGAAGAACAGGGGTCTGATGTTGTGGGTGATGTAGGGGAACCCACGCCAAGCCAGTGAGCCTGGCTCTGTGCTGTGAAGAATTAGCCAGAAGCAACTTGGAATGTGATACAGGAAAGGCATTGGGGAAAGGTTAAGGATGCTTCAGCAGCACACTTCTTGTTCCCAAAATCACCCAGCTCTCAGGGGAACGTGGGGTTGCCTGGGTCAGGCATGAACCTGCCACTCACATGGAGACAGCAGGAGCACTGGGCCTGGAGCCACACAGCAGGGCAGGCAGGGCTGGGCTGGCATCCCTAAACCAACAGGGGGGTTTGGCCCCTTCCAAATCCCTCAGGAACACTCTTTCAGGAGGACTCTCCACCCAGCCCACCCTGGCCTTCATGTTTTTTGTTCGTTTGTTTGTTTGTTTTTGAGACAGAGTTTTGCTCTGTTGCCCAGGCTGGAGTGCAGTGGCACGATCTCAGCTCACTGCAACCTCTGCCTCCTGGGTTCAACCAATTCTCTGCCTCAGCTTCCTGAGTAGCTGGGATTACAGGTGCCCATCACCATGCCTGGCTAATTTTTTGTATTTTTAGTAGAGACAGGGTTTCACCATCTTGGCCAGGTTAATCTTGAACTCCTGACCTCGTGATCCATCCATCTTGGCCTCCCAAAGTGCTGGGATTACAGGCTTGAGCCACTGCGCCCAGCCTGCCTTCATATTTTTAAAAGGAGTTTCTTTCAAGGTTAGGTAAAATAAGGGAGGCTCAATTAGACTTAAACGTTTAACATCTTGCATTCCTGTCCTTGGTACATGGTGGGGTGAGGCCTCATGAGTGTTGGGGACACCACTAGCTTGTCTGTCCTTTCAGCATTGTTCATGGGGAAACTGGAGAGTGGGGGCTTTTTTTTTTTCACAAATACGGAAATCGAGGCACAGAGGGGTTGAGTTATGAGTATGGGGTCAAGATGTTCCAGGCTAAGCACTCATCTCTCCCTGGTTTCCCCTTAGGCCTGTCCCTGTGAAGGCATCCCCTGGGCAACCCACTTTGCTCGCCAGAACCTGGGAAGTCTCCATGCCCTGCTGCAGTGTTCCCCTACCCCCACCCCTCCCGCTCTGAGGCTGGATCCCTCAGTCCCTCAGGAATTGTGCTCTCCTCTCTATTCCCATAGCCCCATCCCACCTGGCAACCCCCTGGCAGCATCCCCTCACCTCCACGCAGCTATCAGAAAACTCCCCTCTTCTTCCCATTGCCTGGGCACTGAGGCCTGATTTGAAGGCCCCAGGCTGGTGCACATGCCGCCCCAGGCTGGTACAGATGCCTCCCCAGCCTCATCCCACCACCAGCCGCAGAAAGGGCCTCTTTCTTTGCTAGGGACTCAGATCTGTGCCACCTGCCCAGGGGCCTGCAGGAAATCTGCCTGTGGGATTCTGGATCGCCCTGCCCGTGGGTACCATCCTGGCTAGTTGCCTTGTGCAATTTCCCCACTAACCTGAAGCTGCTGAAAGGGACTCACATGGCCTCTGCCCCGAGGTGTGGGTCACAAGGACTCAGGACCCAGTCTGCAAATGAACACGAGTAAGCCAACCCCAGATTGTTGAATAAGGTGAAAAACGCAAATCCAAGACGAAAGCATTTTTTCACAGATAGGTTTGAGCAGGGTTCATTATTGGAGGTCTGGTCCCAGGTGTAGGGGAATGGGGCTCCATCTGGAGACCAGCGGCTGCCTCAGGATGCAAACTTCTTGTGCCTTCTCTGTAGAAGGCATTTGACAGACCAAGGGCAAGGAGGCCACTCAGCGACCAAGGGAAAGGGGCAGGAGCACCCAGAGGCCAGGCTGCAGAGGGGCCGCAGCCAGCAGTCAGCAGGGCCCCTGGCTGCGCCCCTGGGATACTCCACTGCTTTTTCTTTTTCTTTCCTTTCCCCTTTCCCCATGCTTTAGCTTAAGCAGCCTGGTGTGCTAAAACTATAACATAGGAGGCTGTAGGGTAGGCTGAGGCTCAGTGATAGATTGTCATTTAACCCTGTAAACTAAAAATAAAATCCTAAGCCCCCCACCAACTGAACAAACCCCCTCGTGGCCGAGGGGACTCCAGAAAAACCTTAAAAACTTCAGTTCCCAGCCATGATGGGATGGGAGGTTAGACACACCTGGTTCTACTTTCTTCCTTTTGTAGTTTACACACAACTGAGCAGCATTAATCTTAAAACAGATCAGAAGACTGACAGAATAGACTCCGTGGCAATAAGATACCAAATTATAAACAGGACCTGGCAAGTGTACACACCATACACTTAAAGAATAAACTATATTCTGGCTGGGTGCAGTGGCTCACACCTGTAATCCCAGCACTTTGGGAGGCCAAGGTGGGTGGATCACCTGAGGTCAGGAGTTTGACACCAGCCTGACCTACATGGATAAAACCCGTCTCTACTAAAAATACAAAATTAGCCGGGTGTGGTGGTGCATGCCTGTAATCCCAGCTGCTTGGGAGGCTGAGGCAGGAGAATAGCTTGAACACAGGAGGCAGAGGTTGCGGTGAGCCAATATTGCGCCATTCATGCCAGCCTGGGCAACAAGAACAAAACTCCATCTCAAAAAAAAAAAAAAAAAAAGAAAGAAACTATATTCTGATAGCCACAAGGTATTTTCTTTTTCTTTAGCAGCTAAACAGGCAATAAGCAATATTAAAACAACTGTAGCTCCACCAGATGCTGACTGACCCCCCCACCCCACCCCCATTCCATCAGTCATAACTGCAGCCTTGATTGGACAAAAGACTGATTCAGTAACTTTCTTTCAATAAGATCACTGACTATGTATGGACTAGCTCTGGCCAGTTTGCAGAGGCTGCCCACTTGCGTGCATTTGTGTCCTGAAAAGACCTTTTGGCATATAGAGCCTGACTGTAATAGATTTAAATGTTAAGGCTCCACCCCAAGGTGAACATGAGTTGCATGTTACACGCACCTTCCCCTCCCTTCCCCTCCCCTCCCCTTCCCCTCCCCTCCCCTTCCCCTCCCCTCCCCTCCCCTTCTCTTCCCTTCCCTTCCCTTGAGACAGAATCTCACCCTTCCTTTCCTTGAGATGGAATCTCATTATATTGCCCAGGCTCATCTCAAACTCCTGGCCTCAAGTGATCCTTCTGCCTTGGCTTCCCAAAATGTCAGGATTACAGCTGCAGGCCACCATGCCCAGCACCAGCTGATTTTTTTGTGTTCATTTTGTATCCTGTAACCTTACTGAATTGGTCCGTTAGTCCTACCAGTTTTTAATG